CACTGCCCACCGATCTCCAACAGATACACAAAACTCTCACTCATTTGACAGATATATATCAAAATGCCCACTACTGGAGTGTTAGCAACTACTCCAATAAATTAATTCCTCTTCTTGGAAAAGAACATCAGCTCCCTAAGACATGCCACCATGAAAAAACCGTCCATTTTCCACCTTGTGTCTAGAAAGTAATACTGAATTGTTTCCTTATTTGTAAAAGAAGGGTTAGATCACCCTTTCACCTCCAAAATGTGATGCTGTGCCAAGACAGCTGTGAAAAGGAACCACCTCTGTATCCACTTTACATACTGTGATATTGTCTATTGCACTAGAAGTGTCACACATTGTGGAAAGGGAACGAGGTTCCTTTAAGAGGGACCTAAGATACTTGAGCCAGACAGTGAGGCTGGCAACAAAGAGACAGTAGACATCAAAGAGGCCCAGAGAGGAAGGCGGAGGGGCAGCCCCTCGGGGTGGGGCCGTCCAGCTTCCCATGAAGTCCAGCAGGGCAGGCTCCTGTCTCTTCCTCTTCCTGCCTTCCCAGAAGAGGTGCAAGGGCCCTAAGGAGCGCTTCCCACCAGACAGGAGCCTGCTCGGCTGACCGAGTGCGCCCGTCAGGCCAATGACGCTGCCCCTGTCCTTTCAGCTAAGTCATCTGTGGGTCTTTCGGGGAGAGGAGGGCAGAGGCCAGAGGGACGTCGCCTGGAGATTCCAACACAAAACTTCAACAAAGGTTTATCAAGTACTTCCTGAGGAGATTATGGCCATGTCAAGCCCGTTCTGGCTCGAGCCAAGTTGAGGCTAGAGGAACTTTATTCAGAACATTATTCTTATATATATTCCAGAATATCTGGTGCTATTATCTGGAGCTGGGACCCATGACCAACTCTTCCTCGAGCCCACCAGTCTCCAGCACAGCACCCTGTTCTCTAAGTTATGCAGACAACTTTTTTTTGAGTTGGAGTCTCACTCTCTCACCCAGACTGGAGTATAGTGGCATGCTCCTGGCTACCACAGCCTCAACCTGCTGGGTTCTGGCGATCCTTCCGCCTTAGCCTTCCAAGTAGCCAAACTATAGGCACGTGCTACCACACTGGCTAATTTTTGATTTATCGTAGAGACGAGGTCTCGCCAAGTTGCCCGGGAGGGTCTTGAACCCACAGGCACAGGCCATCCACTCACTTCGGTCTCCCAAAGTGCTGGGATTACAGGCTGAGCCACCGAGCCCGGCCTGCAGACAACTTCTAAAGTGTTCTTTAGATGTATAGTAAGTAAGACTGTGACCGAGGAGTGTTGATTCATATACTTTAAAAAGTGTAAGAGTGTAAATATTGTCTAAATAAAGGCATATAAAACATAGCGTAACAGATTCATGTAATATACCATTAAATATTTGTTTAAGCTCTTTTAAAGAGACTTTCAGTGAAGACATAGCTAATCTCTGGCTTACCTCCAAAGGCCCTAGTCAGATCATGAAGCTAGAAAAAAAAGGCACCTGGCAGTAGATACTAAATGTCAAATATTGACGAGGACATAAATATCTTTGCAAGCTCAAATGTATAAAGTGGTGGCAGAATTATGGACTGGTGAAAAACAGCAAGGTCAGAAGCCAAAGTAACAGCAGTCACAGAGGAATGCAGCAAAGATTCAACCCAGGGACCAGGCTGAAAAGCAAATACAGCGCCGGAGAGCGGGAAGGTGCAAGCAGAGCCTTCTGGGCACCTGGCAAACTGGAGTGGCGCGTGGCATTCCGAGAGAAGGTACAGCACATGCAAAGGAAAGCACGCAAGAGGCAGTACAGCAGGCTCAGGCAAGAAGTGAGTTGGTGAGCCTGGAGAGATGAGTGGAGGCTGTGTGCCTAGGAGTTCTGAACTCTGGCCTGAGGCTTTGGGAAACTGCTGGTTTAAGCAGGGGCGATAGCTCCGTTGTAGAAAGCGCTCCCTGGCTGAGGCCACGAACCAGCACAAGGGGCCATCTGGGGGGGAGAGGGCTGTGGCTTGTGAGCACAGCGTGAGTCCCCAGGAAGCCCACACAACGCAGGCAACACCTTCATATGATAAGACCACGGACCACCTCCCTCCTCCCCCAAGAAAGACATAACCTTCACCATAACCAAAGGGACGGGGAAGTGGAAAGAGTGGAAAGCTCTCAAGCCCAGGGACCAGATGACAAGAAAGATGAGTGCCCTGGACCCCAAAGGATTCTTTACCCTCTTCTGGGTCATTCCCATGAGCCTGGGAAGCATTTTCTGGTACTGCACCCTCATCTGGAAAACACACCCCCTCCTTCTCTGCCCTCCCGCCTTTGATATCCTCCGGTTGCTGCTCCAGCCCCTTCATGACCTGGGTCGGCAGTGCCAACCCCAGCAGGGCCTCCCCTTCCCGCCTGTGTCTACACTTCAACGTGCTCCCAGCCCCATGCTTGCCAGTAACCTCCATGGTGCCAAATCCCATCGAGGCTTCTCTCTCCACTTTGAAAGACTCTTCCTGGGCTCCTGTAACACCTCATTTTACTGTTTTGTTGAGGCTTTTACCAGTGACAGTGGCGTCTTCTCAGTCTTTGCTTCATTGTCTCTTCTTCTTTCACTAGATGAGACTAAATGCTGGCGTGCTCAGAACTGTCTTAGGCCCTCTTCTCCATCTGTCTATGCTTTCTCGCAACTTCACCCAGTACGACTTCAGAAAGCGTCTACATCTGTATATTCAATGAGACCTCTTCCCTGGGCATAGACGATCGGCTGGCATCACAATCACGACCTATGCCAAGTTACTGAATCCGAGTTTGGTCGTAAAACCAGATGCTCAAGCCCCCAAACAACTAGTCATCCCCCACCAACCCCTTTCCTCCTGACCCCACTGCCAATACCCAACAGATCTGGGTCCCAGGGTACCTTCCCAACGTATTTCCAATCTGCCCTGTCTCGCTATATCCTCCACTACCCAGACTGGCACAAACCACTATTTTTTCTCTCCTGAAAGGTGTAACAGCTTCATTACATCTACCTTTGCTTCACCACAATCCATTCTTCACTAAAGAATTGGTACAATCTTTTCAAAATGACACATCAGATCATGCCACTTCTTATCTGAAAAAACCCTTGAATGAACCCCCACCGTATTCAGAATAAAATATAAATGTGCCCCACAACCTACCAGACCCACTTTTTTCATCTCACAAGGTACCGGCCCCTTCCCTAGCTCATTTGAGCCACCCAGGCCTCCTCTTTCTCCTTTCAACAGCAGCAGCTAGAGAAGAAACAGGAAGGGCTGAGACTGGAGGTGCTCATTCCTGCTTCAAGGCTTCTACAATTATGTCCCTTCTCCCTGGATCTTCTGATGGCTGGCATCTTTTTGTCATTCAGATCTCAATTCAAATGCCACCTGTCCAGAGAAGCCTGGCTAGCCATGACAGCTAAAGTTACACTCTCTAATGCCATTCTGTTATTTCTATTATAGCACTTACCAAAATCTTATTTATGCTCACTATCTGCTTCTCCTAACCGCAATATAAGATCTAGAAAGAGAGAAACCTCATCTGTCGAGCACCAGACATACAGTGGGCATGCAATACGTATCTAGTGAATGAATAACCCTCAACCTCCTTGCATCAACAAATAAAATTTTCTTATGGGAGTGTTATATGTACAAATAGAATACAACAGGTCACTAGAGCCAGCTTATAATATCACATCAGTCTCTTTAAACTTGCTTCTTTCCTATAAAAATCATATTTTCTGCAAAATGGGTAAAATGTCAATGCTTAGTAATATTCACAATCTGCACAAAATCACTGGAAGAGAATCAGTCAAGGACATCTTATAACTGCTCTTTTCTTCCCATGTCAATGAATCCAAGTAGCTCAGCAAGAAAAAATCAACTAAAACAAAAATATATACATAAAAGCACTCACAAACACAAGATATAATTAAAAGTACCATACAAGCAAACCGAGAGCTGAGAGCACCTCTCAGGGACAAAGTCAGATGTCAGCACTCTTTCTCTTTAATAGATCTTGTGCCGGGCGTGGTGGCTCAAGCCTATAACCCCAGCACTTTGGGAGGTGGAGGTTAGAGGATTACCTGAGCTCAGCTGCTCGAGACCAGCCTGAGCAACATGGCAAGGCCTCATCTCTACAATAAATCAAAAAATTAGCCAGGGTGGTGGCACATGCCTGTAGTTCCAGCTACTTGGAAGGCTGAGGTGGAAGGATGGCCTGAGTCCAGTAGGTCGAGACTGCGGTGGCTGTGAGCGTGTCAGTGTAGTACATACAGCCTAGGAGACAGAGTAAGACTCCGGCTCAAAAAAAAAAAAAAGATCTTGTGATTTGTTAGGAAGGCACTAGCTTGAACGCAAAAAAGAATATACTGAATATTCTAGAGGTGAACTGCTCCATGTGCATAATGTACAGTGAGTGCTGTATTTGCTGACTGCATGCTAAGAATGCAAGTTATGAGCATAACCTCTGTACTTTACAAATGGTTCAAAGGAGCATTTCAAAAACCAGTCATTCAGGGGACTGAGTAGTTTACACAACCATTGTTAGTAAGTGGCACAAGGAAAATCATGCCCTTGGCCTACTTGTGGGAGACCATGGACTGTATGAGTTATTTTCCAGGTGTGTTGCTGACGCACGAAGCTGTTTTAAAAACAGCAAAACCTCCAACTTCTGGGAATTCTCCCTTCCATACCTGTGAGGACGGGAGTATTGGCAGGCACTGCAGGTCTAGCTATTAAGGAGGCCTGTTCAACTGTGCTTTAGGCCAACTGAAACTAAGCAGAAATACATACATATCCCTTACTGTTTCTGGTGAAATGTTTTAGTGCTGTAATACTTCCCCGTAACGTTAATCCAAACTTTTTATTAGAAGCTGGTGGCTGAGTTGGCTTTGTGCTGTGGTTTGGTGCCTGAGTGAAACACTTATGAAATAAACACAAATATCTAGCTGTTGCATGTTCAAAGACTTACCAGATCCAATAATCAATCATAAACAATATTTTCAATACTGTCATAGTATAAAACAAATCCTTTAATTTTTTCAAGTATTTAAAAAAACAATTTTATACTTAAGCCAGCCTTGAAGATAAGCACAAAATTCACCAGTTTACATTTTTTTTAAAAAACCATAGCAACTCAAGCACCCACTGTGTGCATAGCACTATTCTAGGTGCAATAAAAGGGAATCTTAACCTTAGAAACATGATTTCACTTTCTAGAATTGTATTATCTTCTTTTCCAGAGAGTAAAAATAAATAAAATCGACATTGCTTACTATAGATTTGTCCCCAACCCCTTCTGGCTCACAGAAAGGCTAATTTCTGCCAAATTTAAATTGTAATGAATTCAGCCCTTGTTTTCCCCCAAATAAGAAAGCAGAACGCCTTCTCACTTAAATTTAAAGAAAAAAAAAGTCCACATAAGGGTGGTTTGTGTCTAATAAGTATTTTTTTAAATTCCTTTTTTTTCCCCTCTAGGTTTTTATTTAAATTTTCTTCCTCCAATATTGCCTTTTGTTGTACAAGGAAAACCAGATATCTTTTTACCTGTTTTTCCTTTCCCAAGAAAAGTATTATCTTGAAGACAAACCATTTCCAGAGTAGTGAATAAAAAATAATATTAAGAAAAACTTTAAAGGTGAGTCACCTACATTACCTTGATAAAGTAAAAAAATAAAAAGCAGTGGCACTAAGACAGCTATTCCAAATATCTGTACCTAAACAATTTTAAAAACTGTTTATTTTGCAAGAATGCACCCCTAATCCAACGTAACTATGTTTTCAAAAAATTTTTGGCCAAAAAATTTACAAAAACTCTTTCAGTCCAACCTAATAAAAGTGATATCTAGACAATATTCCACATTATTAAGTCTGTCTTGGAAAGTTCAGACTCTGACGCATCCCTAAGGCACAGCGTTCTGGAAGACAAGCGTGCTTCTCCTGGCACTGCAATATACACGAAGCATCCACGACAGGATTGGTCAAGTGAGTCCTCCTGCTGCTGTGGGACTGGGACAGGGTCACACATAGGCCCCTAGGGCTGCATGGAACTCTGTGAGACACTGGACCAGCTGCTGAAACTTGGGCCTCTCCTCCGGATCTAAGGCCCAGCAACAGGCCATCACGGCAAATCTGCAGTGACAAAGATGAAAAATCTGGTTAGTGCTGATACAATACTCCTAACTTTTTGGCGAGTTTGCTGCCAGCTATGTTGCCTGACTCATTGTGGGTGTGGAGTATAACATTACAAATCAATCAATTTTACACCTGTTGGCAGTTCTAGACAGAAGCTAAAACAAGTCGTGTGGATTACATGTATGGATTTCAATTCTTCATTACAGCATATCAAACTATTTCAACAAAAACAGAGATTTTATGTAAATATCTAAAACACAATCACAATGACAACTGATGTTTTATTTAAGTTCAGAGAGAGAGAACTTGGAGGAAATTTTATTTAAAAACCCTGGATCTAGAGAAACCTCAGTACAAAAGCTGCCATTGTGTCATGGGTAGAAACCTTCAGGGAATTCTGGAACTGAGAACACACACATCTGTGTACCCAATCACCTCGGAGAGCCTCCAGCCCAAAGCATCTTCATTACATAGGAAGATCTGCTATGTGATGAAAGCAGGAAACAGAAAGCAATTACCTCACTCCCTAGCCCAGAACACCTTCCCTATATACCAGCTGACACCAACTGCCAAAGTAAGATGACAAGGAAAAAGGTTGTTTAAAACCAGTATGCCCTTAAGGCTGTATAAACAAAAGTCCTCATGGTATTCAGTCGGTTTCTCAGCGTATCCATTAGTCTCTCACACTAACTTGTAGTGCTTGGAGTATGGATTACAAATATAAGATGCAAGAAGTCCTAATGCCGAATGCATGAAAGAGTGAATGAATTTGACTAACTCCGTGGTCCTTTGTTAGAGTTTAATTCAAGTCCAAGGAGTCATTCTTCTCAAAAGCGAAGGAAGGCTCCGTAAGAATCTGGAGGTGTGTTCCTTTTCTTCGACCTTGTTGGAGTAAATGGAATGAAATTCACGTCTTTAGGCTCAGAGAAACTCACAGTTCATCCGGACAGTTGATTGGCTGGGCTATTCGGTAACCATCTTTCAGGTATGCGGCCATCTCAAAGGGGTCGATGTCCACGTAGGGCGTCTGGCCCAGAGTCATGAGCTCCCACAGCGTCACTCCAAAAGCCCACTAGGAAAGGAGCAGCAGTACAATGAGGGACATTTGAAACGGCTACCAGGCTTCTGGTGTCTACAGCCAGCTGCAGGACAAAAACAGCAGCTCAACCAACTCTTTGGAAAAGCAAAACATTATTTTCAAAAAAGAGAGCACCTAATATATTCTTAGAATATTATATATTCTAAGTAATTAGATCTGTTGGAAGAACAGTTTTTACTGTTGATTAGATGCCGAACCACTCAAAATCATGAATTATGGTTACAATTTTTCCATATGAAATTCTATAACTTTAAATATTATAACCGATCTGCATAATTGAGAGATGGAAAGTGAATTATAGTCTAACTAAAAGAGCATCGTAAGTAAAACATGCAAATGAGGCAAAATGAAATATAAGAAGTCATGGATTTTTACTATATTTAAAAGTTTGGGTCTTTTTTTTGAGTTGGAGTCTCACTCTGTTGCCCAGACTGGAGTGCAGTGGCTGCTCCCGGCGACTGCAGCCTTGACCTGTTGGGCTCCGGCGATCCTTCCGCCTCAGCCTTCCAAGTAGCTGGAACTACAGGCGCGCGCTACCACACCCGGCTAATTTTTTTGATTTATTGTAGAGATGAGGTCTCGCCAAGTTACCCAGGTGGGTCTTGAACCCGTGGGCTCAGGTAATCCACTTACCTCAGCCTCCCAAAGGCGTGGGATTATAGGCTGAGCCACCAAGCCTGGTTTAAAAGTTTTAATTAACAGATAAAAATATCTTCCAACCTTGTTTAAGTAAAAGATCAGATTTATTTAAAATCAGCATGCGAACCTCTGGAAGAGGCAGGAATGGTAAGCAATGGCAACAATGTCCACTCACAGTCTGGCCAGAGCTCCTGTTTCAACCCAGTCCTGCATGGCAGCTCCTGGAGAGTGTGGGGAAGACAGGCAATGCCATCTGCCCAGAGCTGCTGCCCCGTGGCCAGGCAGGGCTCGGTGCAGGGACTCCCACTGAGCTACTGCCATATATGGTCCCAGAGGTCTGAACTGGAGCTGGATTAGGATGAGGACACCTGGGATGAGGCCTGTGAGTCCCTGCAAGTTCTAGGTATTTTGCATCCTTATTGCATTTAATTTTCTCAATAAACTTGTGAAAATCATTGGTAGCTCAATTTTAAAAGGTAAGGAAACAAGACCCAGAGAAACAGCTTGCCCCCAAATATATTTTTTAATGAGAAAAATAAGAAATGGAAAAAAATTTAAAAACCAAACACAAGTCAATTCAAGTATGTTTATAAAATTTAAGCATAGTACATTCAATTTTAAGTTATTATTTTTCAATAATAAAATCCAGAAATACTTTGTGAAATATGTAGACTTTTTTAGAAGCCTCATATGAGCAAACAATAGCTATATTTCTTACCAGAACCTATACAAACAAGAAAACAATGAATGACCTATCTTTAAATATTTTTAAAGCTTGTCATGGAGAATTCTGTATCAACCAAAATATATTTCAAAAATGAAGACAAAATACAGTTTTTCAGACAAACAAAAGCAGAGAGACTATGCTGCGAGCAGACCTGCACTGCAAGACACATGAAAGCTGTTCTTCATGTGCCAGAAAACATGGCACATGGAAACTAGACCTATAAGGAGTGCTGAAAACATGAATAGCAACTGAAGTGATTTTCTTCTCATTTAAAATGTCCCTAATAGATACTTGAAGCAAAAACAGCTAAGAAGATACTGTGAAGTTTATAACACATAGACAAGTAAAATGTATACTGCCCATGACAGTATAAAGAATGGAAGGGTGAGCAGAGACATTATATTGTAAGGTGCTTACATCAAACATGAACCAGGACAGTATTTTTTTGAAAATACTAGATGTACACCGTAAATTGCAGTAGGCCTTTTAACCTTGGCACTACCGGCCACATAACTCCTTGTCTGAGTAGCTGCCCTGTGCACTGGAGGACGTTCAGGTGCACCCCTGGGCTCTACCCACAAGTTGCCAGTAGCACATCCTTCAAGCTGTAACAACCAAAAATGCCTGCAGACACTGCCAAATGCCCCTTGGCATAGCCAAATGCCCTTAACTGGGGCAAAGTTGTCCCCAGTTAAGAAAGACTGATTGAGCTAGACTGAAAAATAAAATAAAATTAATACTATCAGGAGTGAAAGAAGGAACATCATTTTGGATCCCATAGACATCAAAAAACATTATAAACTCAATTTTGTGCCAATAAATCCAACAACTTAGGTAAAATAAACAAATTTCTTAAAATACAAATTACCAAGACAGAAATAGGAGCAAACAGAAGATCTATATAGCTCTATAGGATTAAAGAGACTGAATTCATAATTTTAAAACTTTCCACAAAGAAAACATCCAGTGGAGTTTGAATCCCATCAAACTTGAAAGAAAAAATAATACAAATCTGTATCGGTTTCCTATGGCTGCCACAACAAAATACCACACAATAGTTGTTTAAACAACAGAAATTTATTTTCTCACAGTTCTGGGGGCCAGAAACTCCAAACCAAGGTGTCGGCAAGACCCTGCTGCCCTGAAACCTTGACCATCCCCACCTTCTAGAGGTGGCCAGCAGTCCTTGGTGTCCCTTGGCTTGCAGCTGCATCGCTTCAGTCTCCGCCTGCCTTCACCGGACAGTCTCCCTTCCTGTGTCTGTCTCTTCTCCACTCCTTGGAAGGACACCAGTCGTATCGGATGGCAGCCCACAAAACTGAGTAAGACCTCATCTCAACATGATATCTGCAGTGACCCTATTTTCAAATAAGATCGGTTCTGAGGTATCAGTTAGGGCTCCAATCTATTTTGGGGGGACACAACCCAACCCACTTTACAATCTTACACAAGCTCTTTCAGAACACAGAGGAAGAACATTTCCCAATCATTCTGAGGGCGGCATTACCCTACATACCAAAACCAAAGCAGTCAGTCTTTTGAAACCTATTATCCTTTTCACTCACAGTGACTGCATCACTGTTAAGGTGGAGCAAAGTCCGGCCTGAGGTCTATGCTTTGGGAGGAACAGAGAGGCATGGACGTGTGGAGAAAGATGTATAGTTTTAAAATCTCCAGAGACTCAGAGCCTCCTGAAACTTTCCTTAAACCTACTCGGATGCTCTACCCTGCTTCAAAATGGAAAAATGATTTCAAATTAACAAAAGTTAGAGGACAGTCCCTGCTCACATCTAGTTGTTTGTACGAAATCTTATTACTGACAGTGATTAGTAAATGGAGAGACTGATTTTTAAACTAGCGTCCAATTTCCATAGAGATGGGACTTCACTATGCAGGTGGAATGGAGCCCTAAAAAGTGAAGCTGGTTGGAGGGTGCCCCCATACCTTCTTCTTGAAATGAACCTGTTCTTATTCACTGATTGTGGCAGAGCTATGAGGAATGAATAATCAAACTAGATTTTGGAGGAAGAAACAGCTGCACTGGCGGTAAGTAGACACTGACACTTTGTACACAGGGACTAACTCCATCCCTAACACAATAACACCTTCTGATTGTGAGAAACTTTGACAGTAAAGCTGGTGGTGTTTGTGATCTGGAGTTGCACACAGGCATCACAACAGCACGATGTGTATAAGCTGGCTTTTAAAATGTCTTTATTCACATTGTTTTGCCCACATTATTATCACTAAACGTCCACCTAAGTTCTCATATTATAAACTCTAACACTAAAAGACACCTTAAAAAAGAACAATCAAGCCAAAGGGTTCAATGCAGTTTCATTTCCTTAAAACCAACAAAAGTGATTAATGGCATGTTGGCTAACCAACCCTTAAAAAAATAATCAAGACAAAATCGCACAAGAATGATCTGTGGAAAACTTGCTCTCTAAAGTCTTCTGATAAATGAACCATTTAAAATTTAGACAGTTGCATTCTATAATTTCCTTCTGTTTGACGTCGTTGGAAAGGGGGCAATAAAGAGGTCAAGCTGTTCTTTCCAGAGTTTCATAAAAGATTGTGACTATGTCCATCTAAAGAATATTTAAAGAATTACCATGTTCTTCTATCCATCTTATCCTCTCTCCCCAACTGGTGCTATTTCTTTGTTTAGTGGCTCACATATGTAATCCCAGCACTTTGAGAGGCCAAAGCAGGAGGACTGCTTGAGCCCAGGTGTTTGAGACCAGCCTGGGCCACACAGCCTGGGCAACCAAGTGACCAGTCTCATCTCTACAAAAAACTTTAAAACTAGCCAGTCATGGCAGTGTGCACCTGTAGTCCCAGCTATTTGGGAGGCTGAGGCAGAAGGATCGCCTAAGCCCAGATGGTTGAGGCTGCGTGAGCTGTGAGCATGCCACTGCACTTCAGCCTTGGCCACAGAATGAGACTGTGACTCAGAAACAAAAGAACATAAAAACATTTTCTCAAAACATATACAGATTGGTTTGTCAAAAAGTTATAAGTAAAATTCATTTTTTTCTTTTAAAACTAAAGTTGGGGCTACTGAATTAAGAGATTTCCACTCATTACTTCAGGAACGAGTAACACAAGGCTCACTTCAGTATACTGATATACTGGCAAGAAAATAATTCCGTTCAATTTTAAGTTATCTTATCTGACCACAGTAAAAGCATAATCAGGTATTCTATGGCGAGGCTTTTCTGTTAATGCTAGAACCCAACATCCCTTTCTCACACACAGACATGGGTTCAGATGACCAAAGTGCAATTAAGTGAATCGTAATAGTCAAATGCTTTCCAAGCTTAACTAATGAGAGGAACCACCTAATGTGCTTGTTCAAAATACAGTTTCCCCAGTCCTATCCTAATAATTCTAGGGTCTGGGGAACATACTATTTGAAACATTAAGACACTACCTCAACTTCAAAAAATCAACAATCTTCAAGCGGAGTGAAATATATGATTGAAAAGAGACTACTAGTGCTGTGCAGCTGTCTAGGTCTGGGACCAGGAAGGACAGAGAAGCCAGGGCTGGATGCCCATGAGGCCATCATACACGTTACTTGTGGCACTTCTGTCCACTGTAC